ACCATTAAGCTGCCAAGGACCCAAAATGGCAGCAAGCTATGGCGGATGAAGTAGATGCATTGGCATGGAACAATACTTGGAGTATAGTGGATTTACCCCTGGGAAAGCATGCCATTGGCTCAAAATGGGTGTACAAAGTCAAATGTAAAGCAGATGGTTCTATTGAGTGGTATAAAGCTCACATTGTCCCAAAGGGTTACAACCAAGTTGAAGGGTTAGACTACCACAACACCTATCCTTCTTGCATGGTGATTTGCATGAAGATGTTTACATGACTATTCCTCAAGGGTTCGAACAAGGTTAACCTAATAAGGTTTGCAAACTACATAAATCCCTATATGGGTTCAAACAAGCCTCCCAAATGTGGTTTGAGAAGTTCACCATCACTTTGAAGCAGTATGGTTTTCAACAATCTCTCAATGATTATTCTCTCTTCACTCTTCATTGTGATAGGCATTTCACTGGTGTACTTGTGTATATGGATGATCTCATTATTACTGGTGACTTTTCATCATGTATTGAAGACCTCAAGAACTATCTTCAGTCATGCTTCCCACTCAAAGATCTTGGTCTGCTGACTTACTTTCAGGGTATTGAAGTCATCACTACTCAAAGATCTTGGTCTAGAGATGAGGTTAAGGATGAAGCTAAAGAACCAAAGTTTCAAGCTATAAAAATTGTAGATATTAAAAATCAAGAGGCTATAGGGCAAGGAAAAATAGAAATTGTTGAAGGAGTTTCCAAGACCCATGATCAACTTAAAGTTAAAGATCAAGAAGAAATAACTATTTTCTCCCTACAAAGTGGTTACTTTCAAATTTGAGCCCACACACTTAGACTTGTCTGCGTAAGATTTTACCATTACACCAAGCTTGGGATTTCAATTGTTATTTTGGAGGAGTCATATTGTAGGAATTATAGAAAATTGCTATTGTTTCATTGTTTTAATTCTTTTGAAGCTTTTTGCGGATGTCTGAATGGTCAAACTTCAAAAAATAGTCATTTAGGTCTTTAATACTTTTTTTCTTGACTCAGGAGTTCTTGGAATGATAGGATTTCTTTTATAGTATTGGATTCTTTTTATGATATTGCTTTTTTTTTAAAGAATTTAAACCCTAATTTGATTTGGATTGTTTTTGAAATTCTTAGTATGGGATAAATGCTCATGGGAGTATTTATAAGTTCATAGATTTGTTTTCAAAATTTGTTGTAATTACTAATTAAACTAATTACCTTAATCTAGTCTCCTCCATGTGGATACTTTTCTTCAATGAATGCTTATTATTTATTTATTTATTTTTTAAGGAAGAACTCCTTATTTTTCCTTTACCTTCCCTAACTTAAGTTGAAGGGTTGCCCAAAGGTTTTCCTTTTCTTTGTTATTAATGTCCTCAAATACAAAGATCACTTATCTTAATTTTTAGGACCCAAATAATGCTATAAATAGTGAAGATGTCCATAATTTTCTTCAAACTATATAGTTGATTGGGACTTTAGGAGATTATGGGTTTCTTCCTTGCCTTGCTATAAGAAAATACAAACTTTTGATTTCTTGACATGTCTTCCTAATTGTTGAGATGATTGATGACTATTACTTTGTTAATGGTGATTTTCATAAGACTCTTATATTGAACTGGGGAACCCGAATTGAAGGCTTGGGAAATATTTTTTCATTGATCAATCTTTTCTTTAAAAGGAAATAATTGAAAGTAATTTGTCACTTTTCATTATATTTTTGTTTTCTAATCTTCTTGCCAAATTTTTTTCTTTGTCAAGTGTCCATAAGCAAGCACAGTGCATCTAGAAAATGAGGGACTTTCCTATATTGAAGAAGAAAATTAATATTGTTAGTACATAACATTGTTATAATTTGGTTTTACTTGTAAAATTCTAGACACCTAGGATCCGGAAGAATGCAAATAGAGTGTAAATAGAAATATGTAGAGTGCATTATGGTCCATGTAGATGCAAAGTTGGTTTAATTGTGCATAGTTAAATTTACTTTCTTGCCAAATGTTTTTTAGTTGTAGCATGTGCAAACACAAATCCCAAGATTAGTATGTACCTTTTTAACATTGATGTAACCTTGAGTGCAAAGTTTACATTCTTTTTCCAATGTAAACTTTGCTCTTATTTTTTGTGGAAACATGCTTTAAAATTTGTAAAAATTGTCATTTTAAGTACATAAATGCAATCTTACCAAATACCCACAAAACTGAGAAGAGTGCATATGCACTGAACCAATGTTTGTACCCTTCCAAAAGGGAGTCCTACCATTTGGTTCTACTTGTAAAACTAGACACCTAGGTGCCTAGCTAGTCAAGTAGGTTCTCCATTGTTATTTAGACTTGCGTATACACTTTGAAAAATATGAGGATTATTGGATTTACTACTTTCTATTTTAATGTTGTTTGCTTCATTTGTTTTTATTTAGTTTTGTCCAAATTTTTTTAGCACTTAAGTAATGTAATGCAAATATGCAACACTTGGTTCTTTGCTTTCATTCTCTCAATATATTTTCAATATTTTTTCTCCTTGATACTTTCTCATATAAATGCATGATTGTTACATAGTGAAAATATTTTTCTTGATACCTTTCCCATCCATTTTCTCATAGACATGACTTCTCTACTAACGCAACAAGTGTTGAAGAGTAATTGCACCATATAGCTTTTACATGTTTTGTGTATGATTGCAACAATTAGGAACCATTTGATAACAACTTAAGGTTATATCTGATACCATTTTTATCTCTAACTTAAACATTTTGGGTTGATAAATACAAATTGACATACAATTTTTTGAGACTATGATAGTTGTAACGAGTATGCCTTAAAAATACACATGTAAGAGGTTGTTTCTAGAAATATCAAATTGGTGTTTCTTGCTCCAAGGGGTGTAGTCTAATCATTAATATAGCCGAAATAACTCTCACATGTGATGTAATAACACATATCTCTCATTAATTTGTATTGATCAACCCAAAACATTTGAAGTAGAGAAATCAATTATACCAAATACAACCATGAAAGACATATTGCTTTGTCTTTTAATTGATAGACATATTTAAATAATAAAATAATCAAGATATAGTAATCTACAGAACTTCAGCTCCAACTATTAAAGATCCCACAACTTCCATAAAAACTTCTTTATTAAATGACAAAGAAATAGCCTCTTCACTTCAACTACTTCAATTGTTATCAAATGGCCCCTGAATGATTGCAAATCCAAACCAAGCACATAGTTTGGATTTGCATYGTAAATAAATGGTTTGGTGTTAATCAATACATTGTTTATGTTGCAACAAATTACTTTATAAATGAAGAAAAGGCAAATTTTCATACCATTAATAAAGGGATTTGCCTCTAATTGATTGTAGTAATTAAGGGGTCATTTGATAATAAAGAAAAAGACTCATTGCTTTGTCTTTGACAAAATGCTTAAATAATAAAACAATCAAGATGTAGTAATATACGGAACTTCAGCTTCAACCATTAAATAGTCCACAACCTCCTTAAAAACTTATTCACCAAACGACAAAAACTATAACTTCTTCGGTTCAACCACCTTAGTTGTTATCTAATGACCCCTAAATGATTGCAAATGCAAATCTTGCACACAATTTGGATTTACAATTCAAATAAGTTATTTAATGTTAATGTAGACATTTTTACCTTATAACAAATTCCTTCACAAGGAAAAAAGGGCAAACTTCCATTCTCTTTCCCTAAAACATATTCTCTACTTTAGAATTTAATGTATTTGTTTCTAGTGCAAAAACAATTATGTATCATTCAAAAATTCTCTCTGACCGGCCATGAATACAAATTGGTTTAATTTCGCAATGATAAATTTTGTATTTCAACCAAATGGTTTTTTTTTTTGTAATCAGTGTAAACATGGATTACAAGACTGAAATCCACCTCTTTTACATTAATCAACTATAAGTGCAAAATTTGTTTCCAAAAAAAATTGGTATAGTTGTCAAGACCCCAAAACATGATATGAATGGCATATATATGGTTGATTCATAAGCAAAATCTTAGAAAGGCAACTGAAATTTCAAGAAAGCTTATTATATCAACCTTTATGTTGCTTTTATTTGTGGTGATGTTGGTTTGATACATAAATCTATTTTGGTTCAATTTTGTAAGTATGATCATGGATTGGATAGACTGAAAAAACCTAGTGGATTGGACCAATCTAGTYCAAAATTGTCCAAATTATTCATTGAATTGGATTAAACCTGGTCCATTTGTAATGGGCTCACATTGGACTAGATCGGATTGGACCAAATCCAGTCCAATCAATACCCCTAATTAATACATGTAATACTTAGAGTTAGACCTATTTTTCAATGGCTTTAATAATACTATGTAATGTCAATGCTTGCAAATGGTGGTTGTCCAAATATTTTAATTTTTAAACATATTTGCTTAATTAAGTTATGATTTTGCCTTTTTTTTCCTTTATTTGCACATGTACATGACATGTGCCCTTTTACTAATTTTATGTAGTTAATTTAATTTTACAAATTATATTCATAAAAACCATAATATATATAACAAAATATTGAAAATGAAATATTTACATGAATACTTTAATTTTGAAGCATTGTTTGTAAAATAGGCATGAGGAAACAAAATATTTACATGTAAAATATTGGTCGTTAATATGTAAAATATTGAAAATGAAATATTAGAAGGAACAAAAATTATTCAGGAGATGATAATTTTTTCATGGTTGCAATTTTTGAATAAACTGTTCTTACTTTTATATTAATTTAAAATCATTTACGAACTATATTACTTCATTACAAATATAGGTCAACCATTTTACCCAAATACAATGAAATTCCAAGGGACTAATTTAATCCAAAAAATTTCCACCCAAAACCTATCAATTTTGATATTGTTTCCGAAAAAGGAAAAAGAACTGGAGAAAAGAGGCAAATGGGCCTTTAGGGTCCAGAGTCCAGACCGCAACTACGGGTTGTGTCCCCCCATACGAAAGACACCCTCAAATGGTTAATACTCCAGGAAAAGCAGTGAAAGAAAGGGAAAAGAAAAGCGCGTTGATGAGACTTGAGAGAGGTCGCATGGTTTGCCTGGGTTTTGGACCGCCAAACCAAATGCAATTCGATCTGCTCTCTGTCTGATTGTTGTGCCGAAATTGAAACCGCCATTACCGACATATCAAGGTCAGTTCCAAATTCACTCCCCCCCCCCCATTTGTACTCTCTCATATTCTCGATTTAATTATTCATGTCTGTGTATATATATATTTTTAACAATTTCACTTCATTTGGGTTTAGATCTTCATATTATCTGCATTATATAGTTATTGTAATGATTCTGCTACGTTTCCTTTGATAGAACAATTTGGTTTTGGAGGGTTTGAAGTTAATGTGGAGAAGGTTCTGAAGTGGATCGGTTGTTTTTGAGGTGATTGTGTGGTTTACCATGAAGGGTTAGAGTTGTTGAATGGTCTTGGTCTGGGGATTCAGAGAAGAGGAGGTTGGTTTATTGCAGTTCTTTTGGGTCGGTATGTAGAGGTTTCTAGACTAGAAGGGAAAACTAGGGTTCTGTTTCTTCTGTTACGATGGTGATATTTTGGCTTTAAGGTTTTTTCGTGGCTGCTGTGATTTGTGAAAAATTGAGTGAACGGCTGGAACTTTGTTGCTTTTTGCAGAGGAAATCGGCATCCGGAAATGGATAATTCGGTTATGGGAGCTGGGCTTTTGTCAGGTTCAACATCGGGGATTTTAGAGCTGGAACCTTCCATTCAGAGACACCAACAGAGCCATTCGGTTTCCCATCACCATCACCTGCAAGCGATGAACTCGCTGACTGGTCTCAACGGTGATCACTCCATGGGGTTTATGGAAGCGAAGAGCACTGCCCCAAAAGGCATGCCGATGAACTGTAGTAAAGGGAAGGGGTTTACTAAAGCTGGTGTTGCTACCTCTGCTGCTGCAAATAATAACAGCAGCAATACAAGTGATGAAGATGAACCCAGTTATAATGAAGATGGCAATGATCCGCACTTTAATGGGGCAAGGGGCAAAAAGGGATCTCCTTGGCAACGAATGAAATGGACTGATAACGTAGTTAGGCTTCTGATAGCGGTGGTCTCTTTTGTTGGGGATGATGTTACTCCTGAGGGTGTAGATGGGTTGAAGAGGAAGTCAGGAGTTCTGCAAAAGAAGGGTAAGTGGAAAACTGTATCAAATATAATGATGGAAAAGGGTTGTTATGTCTCACCTCAGCAATGTGAAGATAAGTTCAACGACCTGAACAAAAGATACAAGCGGCTGAATGAGATCCTTGGAAGGGGGACCACTTGTAGAGTGGTCGAGAACCCTGCACTCTTGGACACCATGACCAATATCACAGCAAAAATGAAGGATGATGTCAGGAAAATTTTGAGCTCAAAGCACTTGTTTTACAAGGAGATGTGTGCRTACCACAATGGACAAAGGATACCCAATACTCATGACTTCGATCTACATTCTTTACCTGCCACAAGGTGTTCAGAGGGTAATGGATTTGAGGGGGAAGAAGATGTGGAAAATGAGGATTGTGATGATGGAGATTCAGATGATGAAGATGACAACAATGCTGAAGAAGATGCAGAAAGGATGGGGGAGTTTGGAAAAAGGAGGGAAAATGAAGAAGATGGCAATTTGTGGCTACAATCTGGAATTTATAATAGCTTTGCAGCTGAAATAGCTGGAGTTCTTCAAGATCCCACGAAGTCAACATGGGAGMGGCGGGAATGGATTAGGAACCAGTTATTACAACTCCAAGTAAAGAGGGTCAATCTTCAAGCTGAAGCTTTCGAATTGGAGAAGCGTCATTTGAAGTGGCTGAGGTTCTGCAACAAGAAAGATAGGGAGCTAGAGCTTTTGAGGCTGAATAATGAGAGGATGCGATTAGAGAACGAGCGGATGACATTGCAGGTGAAGCAAATAGAGCTGGAACTTGATTTTAAGAGGTCAGAAGCATCTTTAAACCCTGTTTCTCTTGGAATAGATAGACGGCAAGGAGGAAGAGATCAAATTGAATCAGGAAGGGTTCAGTAGCTTCATTTCTCCAGGGGTCAAAATTTTGTTGCAACCTTACCCAATTTGTTGCTAACCTCAAAGTTTTTACTTCAAGGCTTACAAAAGTACTAACCTTCATTTGGGTGCATTTACAATCTACTAGACACCAATGTGTGTATTCTGTTGTATATTTTAATAGGTGGCACTGAGTAGCTCCTTTTTCCACAATGTACAAGAGATCCAGTTCTTGTAATTATATGTTTGATGTTTCAGATATGATTTGTGTTGGATCATGTTATCATGGGAAAAACTTGATTTTCAGTGTGATATTCTAGTTATAATTGCCTTTTTTTAATGTACAAAAAATAATACGGGTGCATTAAGAAATTGGCCTGGATCTGTGATATAGAAAATTTTGCTTTTATTTATTTATTCTTTTTTTGGGGGGGGTGCAAGATTTTCTCAAATATTGCCTGTTTTCTCAAGAAACTGTATAGCTGGGAGCCTGGGGACCAACACTGGTTAATGGCCTTTCCTTATTTTGAGAAGGTAAAGTGTAATATAATTCTCTATATGCAAAAATTATATAGGTGTACAAGAATGTTCATGTGCAACTAATTGGCATACGCATGGAACCCAAAGTATAATAGTTATCTAAGACATATACAATGGTTTAACATAAAAAAAAAAAAAAAAGTATCTAGGGCTTCTCTGTGATCCCAGAAATACAGTAGTCATGTAACCCATGAATAGATTGTGTTGAACAGCTTCATCAAAATTGTCTCTACTGGAGAGGACCGCCAAGTCAAAAACCAGATGGTATGCCTCTCTTGCTTAGCTTCTCATTTACCCTTGTTTGGATGATTGCTTCTCAAGTTGCCATGTCGACAAAGTTTCTTTAGACTGACCAAGGAGAGCACCTTTTGATTCCAAATGTCTCTAAGAAGTTGACCCATAATATGATGTAGAATTTGCAATGGATGAAGAATGTGATTATTAGTTCTCCCCACTTCCTGGAAAAGGACACAATTCTGATTGGGTGTATCCATTCATAGTCAAATTCTTGATTCTACCTCATCTGGTTTTGGCATTTTTTGTATAGCTATTGTAGCAATATATTCTGTACTTTCCAATCATTCAGACTACTTTAAGTAGGAGTTAAGATTATTCTTGTAAGGCAGCTTCATAACAATTCTTGGTTATGCAGCTGGAATTGGTGGATGTTATGTAAGTCTAGGAATAACGACTTTCAATGGGCAAGAATCATACCAGTTATCAAACCTGACTACCTGATTAGTTTCTTAGATTTGCATGATTTTTAGGTTCCTCCTCAAACTCCACACCCATATGTCATGTGTCATGGGGCTCCCAGCCCAAGTGTCTTGCTCCATATTTAGCTGCCATAATTTGGCACTAAAGTCTATTTGGGACTCTATGGTGTAGCGGACAGAAATGCCATGGAAGGCCAGATATTTACCAGAGGGAGGTAAGCCCACCCTTTGGTCAACTTATCCACTTATTTCCTCTTCACGTTTTCCACCCTAGATGAAACGTGAGAAAGATTGAAAGCTTCAAATGGGATTTTTATGTCTGTTAATTTGGTGATTCCTGCATGAAAGTGTTCTACTAGATTATCTGCTACTTGCTTGCTTGTATATGCAGGATATGAAATATTTTGGTTGATGTAAGTTTGATTGGTAAATTATTATCTCGATATGTTCCATCTAGTCTGAGGACTGTTGCATTTAAGAGGGAGGGGCAAATTAATGCTGTGATTTTTATCCCTAAATTAATATATTGTAGTTCGGTAGCTGTAAAATACATAGTCATCATCATCATCCAAACCTTATCCTAACCGCGTTTTGCCATTAATTCTGTTTAGTGCCGCTTAAATCATTTCTTGCCCCTTTTACCCTTGATATTATCTGCCACTGCCATTGCAAACAGGAGACTGTGCCTTGTCTTAAATGACAAGCATTTTTACACGTTGCCATTTTTCACGCCCGTCAGTTCCACACTATGAATTGGTTCATGGTTGCATTAATGGGGCTTGAATGGTTTTTATTTTATCTTCAAGGAGAGATCGGATTCAGTACTCACAAAGACCATTCTCACACCGCACTCTACTCAGTTGCAATTGTGTATTGGGAATATGTACTCGTATGTTTTTATACATGGGAGATAGCACGGTACTGAATCCGAGTTCAAATATCTTAGGATTTTTTGTGAGTTTTTTTCTTTTCCTTTTTTTTTTTATGGAAATAACGCTGTGCCTATTTTTGCTGGAGTTCTGTCTTCCGTAGCTGACTTCAGTCTTCAGGCCTTCAAAGGAAAGCACGGGCCTCACATTCCTCAGAGGTGCAGATTTGTGCTGAGATGTTGCATAACTTTTTTGTATCAGCGTTTCCAAATAAGCAACATGATATAGCCCCCTTGGCAAATCTAGACAGGTAGCAAACATCACTAGGATCATCCATATCTAGCCTTTTGACGAACCAAACAGTCAAGTACCATCCCCAGTTGTCTATAATGAGCTGATTCAAATGATCTTGTTCTCGAAGAAATAGATGGTCATAAGGCTCAGTTTGGGAGGAGTACAAATATTAGTATGTAGAGTATAAAACTTTGTATTTATTGTATTATTTTGTATGTATTTATACTCTTTTTAAATTAATAAAAAATAGCAATCTCTCTTTCTCTCCACCCCAACCTAATAATCGGTGTTTGTAACATTTTCCTGCATCAATATGCTTGATACACAAAAATGGTATATGCTATGATAAAAATAAAGGTAAAATATAAAAACCTCTCCTGAAGTTTTTGACAATCATAACAATCTCCTCTAATGTTTCACTTTAACAAAATCCTCTCCTTTTGCAGTTACCTCCCTTTCATCTTTGTTCCAATATTGGAGATTTCAAAGTTATGAAATTACCCTTATAACTTTTTTGGGCATCTTTCAATATAATTCAAAATACCATATTTGCCCTTCTAGACTTCACTAGATCTAGCATTTTTATAGAATAAAATTACTTCATTCTTTTTCAATCTTACTTAAGGAATGTTTTTTTTAATCAAAAGTGAAAAAATCTTTTGGGGGTACTTTAATAAATTTCCATATGAAGGGAGGTAACTGCATATATAAGGGAGGTTTTTGTGAAAATGAAACTTTAGGGGGCATTTTTATGATTGTTAGAACCCTAAAAATAATATTGAGGATTCAAGAATTGGCCTAAGATATTTCTAAGAAGAGTATTAACCCTTTGAAAATGGGCAGATGTCTTAAATTCGTGTATTTGGCATTTCAGTGATTCCACGATATGATACGATATGCGTGATATGGGTGTATCATATTGATAGTTTAAACCTTGATTTCCCTTACTCCATAAATTCCTTTTTTCCACCAAGGTTTAAAAGGCCAAAGGCATAGTTGAAGTGTAATGTCCCAAAAAACGCGAGGCATAATCCTCAAAATTTAAGGAAAAAATTAATTACAACTTATAAATAATAAAAACAATATATAATATACCAAGTTAAAGTGGAAAAAAAAAGGAACAAATATCCATTGTAAACAATAATTTTTAGCTTTTAATCATTAAATAAAATAATAATAAATCAATTAACAATTTTAAACGCTTTAGATTTCATGTTTTAAAATGCAAAATTCTCAAATTATTGAAATGACCAATTTAAGGGGTGTTCTACAACATGGTTGGTTTTGTTTTTGAAAACAAAAACAAATGCAACAACAGCAAAAAACAACATAATTTTTTGTTGATGTGGCAATTGTTTTTGTTTTCAAAAAAAAAAAAAAAAAAAACTTACCATGTTGTCAAACACTCCATTAGAAGAAATGAAACAACTTAGTTGATTTGATCTATGCAAAAAAGAAATAATAAATCAATTAAGAAAAAATAGAAAAATAACACACCTGCCCCAGTTTACTAATAGAAAGGAAACAACTAAACTATGTAAAGTTAAACAATGACTGTTTTGTTCATAAAAAAGTCATTATCAAAGGGGCAATGTTGTCCCATCATGTATTAACATTTTCCCGCGGGAAGGAAAATTTACCCAAATGAGGGGATAAATTGATCAACTCTTGCATTGATCAACTTACCTGCCCCAGTTTACTAGAAAACAGAACAAGGCCTTAAATTTTTTAGGACTCCTTTTGGCCCTCTCTAATAAAGCACTAGTATAAATTAGATGAATAAAGTTAGATTAAGAGTTAACCCAAGACCAATTCTAAATATGAATCTTGGGATGGACCGGAACTGATGTCTAACCCCAAATTTAACCATCCAAGTCTAACCAAAATTTCTATCCAATCCCATGCATTACATGAATTTGGTTAATAGAAATATTGAAAGCCAAATTGTGGTTGCATGATTGAGGGTTTTATTCCACAAGAAATTTGTAAGTGAAACAGTGGTAAATTTACCATTGGGCGTTGTTTTTGTTTTTTTTTTATCTTTTGACGCCATCATTAGAACTGCTCAATAACTATGTATGAGGTCGAAGAAGGAAAGCGAGTGACGAGCAAGATTATGAGCCACCTTATTACAATTCTTCTAATATGAGCAACTGAGCAGTGGGAGAGTAGCCATGGGCGTTCTTGTCCATGTCAACATGTCTTCGGACACCATGGGCAATTGAATGCTTTTAATAGTAGCCATCAATGTCCTCATTAAAGCATTTATTGAGAGAATAATTTCAAATCATTCACCAATGCAATTCGAATGGATGGCCATTCTATTTATGCCGTGTGCAAGTAGTTTTAGTGGGTGTTTTGTATTGATGTCGTTTTCTGAAAAAACAGTGTAACATCAGAAAAAGTAGTGGTTCAAACAAGGCCCTCTTGTTTGGTAATGTTTTTTCTAAAAAAATGTTGTTTAGATCATGTCTTAGAAATCAGGTAAATGTAGTGGAGCAACACCAAATTTAATGTTTTTTGAGAAAACATCAAATTAATACCAATGATGCAATGATGTGGCATCATCCTGGATGTTAAAAATGTTATTTCAAATATTGATACCGGACAAAACCAATATTATTTTCTCAGAAAACGTCTATGTAACAACATCGGTTCCAAACAAATACAACTCCACATGCCTAACACCATTTTTATGAAAAAACAATACGATATTCCACACCTACTTAATGTGCCAATGCATATTAATACTAACCTTTAGCATGTTAATGGAAGAGAGTTGGCATAATCACTGTATTAAATACGAAGTAGGGGAGTATTATTACATTGGGCATAGGTGGATATGGCATTGAAATTAGGCCATTCCACTCGTGGACTTGTATTGGACGTATTGTATGATGCTTTGAATCTTGTATTAAGACATATTAATTCAAGATTTGATATTTAAAA